GATGACACTGCAGTTCCACAGGAACAGCAGCACCATGGCAGCGGCAGAACGGCAGACACCTAAAGCAGTAACAGCAGCAGATCCAGGACCAATCCAGCCTTCTATGATGAATTGAATTTCACCAAAACACCAAAAACTTGTTACACAATAGAAAGCCTCGTCAATCAGTCCTATAAGAAAAGGTAAATATCCACGAATAAAAAAATGAAAACAGATGAAAAGCAATAAATTGGTGAAATTTGACTGTGTACAACTAAAAAAAATTGCATAGAAATGATAATAATTGAAAGTATGAAGAAACAGCCTACAGAATGGAAAAAATTACTAGGAAACATTTCAAAGTGCAATACATAAACACTCAGAATTTAACAAGTCAAAAAAGTACAAAGCAAATATTATAATCAATAAATAAGCCCTAAAAAAGTGACAATGCACACAAGCTTTGACATAGCCTAAATGTAAACAGCACATGCTCCACATGTTTAGTCATGAAAAAAACACTCATCCATTGAACACGAAGATCTCTCTGCCCAGTCAGTGTCTACAATCAAGGTCCTAAATAATTACAAACACTGAAGACACTGCAGGAGGAAGAACACTCAGAGACAGTCTCGGTGTAATTTCAAATAACTGCAGCCACCAAGCAGTTCAGTGAACAGCCAAATAATAAAAAGAGAAAACATACAGAAGATACTACTCAGTACATAAAGGAATAAAATATACAGCAAACAATAAAATAAAAACTCAGGAAAAAGGAAAAGAAACACAACAGAAAAATTAACAAAAATAGTATGTGCTTATATTTTCCTTCAGTGATTTGTGGAAATGTCTATGTTTAATATGCCCCAAAACAAACATGAAAATAGGATACAGTCTCAAAAGAAAAGAGAAAACACCCTAAAACCAAAATATATACTTTCTATAAAAGTATTTACTTCAAGTGTAGGGATACAAAGTGCTGAGAGTGAAGGAATTTTTTAAAAGATTTCTATGAAGAAGGCTAGTCATAATTATGGTAACTGGAAAAGCCAAATGTATAAATATAAAAACAGAGGATATTAAAAAATGGCCAAATGATAACTTTCCAGAATGCTATGTGATCAACACAAAGGCATTTTATAAAAGTTTCCAAATACATGAGGAGATCAATTACAGAACTGTAGGACACAAATAGTCAGTGATGCAGGGAAGTTTTAGTGTTAACCACTGAGAAAGACAACCATGAACAGGAAGCACAGAAAACCAATAATGAATAGCAGCTCTGCACTGAATCATCTACACAACAGCAGAAGATGCTCAGTCTTCTCCAGCTTCAACCAGCAAGTGACAATGTAGATACACTTAAAAATAGACCAAATCTTTAACATTAGTAAAGGCCAATGTTAAAAAGTGTCTTTAACAGAAACATCACCTTTCACGATAGCCACAAATAGCATAAAATATCTTGGGATTACTCTAACCAAGGAAGTGAAAGACCTATTTGACAAGAACTTTAAGTCTTTGAAGAAAGAAATTGAGGAGGATACCAGAAAATGTAAAGACCTCCCCTGATCTTGGATTGGGAGAATCAACATAGTAAAAATGGAAATTCTACCAAAAGCAATCTAGAGATTCAATGCAATCCCCATCAAAATTCCATCAAACTTCTTCACAGACCGTGAGAGAACAATAATCAACTTTAATCAACTTTATATGGCAAAACAAAAAACCCAGGATAGCCAAAACAATCTTATACAATAAAGGAACTTCTGGAGGCATTACTATCCCTGACTTCAAACTCTATTACAGAGCTACAGTATTGAAAACAGCTTGATATTGGCATAAGAACAGAGAAGTCGACCTATGGAATCGAATAGAAGACCCGAATATTAACCCATAAACCTATGAACACCTGATTTTTGACAAGGGAGCTAAAGGTATACAATGGAAGAAAGAAAGCATCTTTAACAAATGGTGCTGGCATAACTGGATGTCAACCTGTAGAAGAATAAAAGTAGATCCATATCTATCACCATGCACAAAACTCAAGTCCAAATGGATTAAAGACATCAACATTAATCTGACCACTTTGAACCTGATAAAAGAGAAAGTGGGAAGTAGTCTACAACACATAGGCACAGGAGACCACCTCCTAAGTAGAACCCCAGTAGCACAGACAATAATAGAATCAATGAATAAATGGGACCTCCTGAAACTGAGAAGCTTCTGTAAAGCAAAGGACACTGTCAGTAAGACAAAAAGGCTACCAGCGGACTGGGAGAAGATCTTCACCACCCCCTCATCAGACAAAGGTCTGATCTCCAAAATATACAAAAAACTCAAGAAACTAGACACTAATACTCTAATTAACCCAATTAAAAAATGGGGTACTGAACTGAACAGAAAATTCACAACAGATTAACTTTGAATGGCCAAAAGATACTTAAGGTCATGCTCAACCTCCTTAGCGATCAGGGAAATGCAAATCAAAACAATTTTGAGATACCATCTTATAACTGTCAGAATAGCTAAAGTCAAAAACACCAATGATAGCCTATGCTGGAGAGGATGTGCAGTGAGGGGAACACTCATCCACTGTTGGTGGGAATGCAAACTTGTGTAGCCACTGTGGAAATCAGTGTGGCGGTTTCTCAGGAAACTGGGAGTCGACCTCCTTCAGGACCCAGCAATTCCACCCTTGGGAATATACCCAAGAGATGCCCTATCATACTACAAAAGCATTTGTTCAACTAAGTTCATAGCTGCACTATTTGTAATAGCCAGAACATGGAAACAACCTAGGAGCCCCTCAATAGAAGAATGGTTAAAGAAAGTGTGGAACATATACACATTAGAGTTTTACTCAGCGGTAAAAAACAATGGCATCTTGAATTTTGCATGCAAATGGATGGAAATAGAAAACGCTTTACTGAGTGAGGTAAGCCAGACCCAAAAAGAGGAATATGATATGTACTCACTCATAAGTGGATTCTAGCCATAATTAAAGGTCTTTGAGCCTATAATTCGTGATCCCAGAGAAGCTAAATAAGAAGGTGAACCTGAAGAAAATCATATAATTATCCTCCTGAATATTGGAAGTAGACAAGATTGCCAGGCAAACGTGGGTGCACGGAGGGTGGAGGGGTGGAAGAAAGGGGAGATGGTTAGAGTGAAGGGAGAGGGGGAGGATTGGGAATGGCTTGGGGGAATGGGAAGGAGGGGAGGGAGGAAAGATGGATATGGGAGCAGGGAAGTATATATCTCAACTAAGGGAGCCATTTTAGGGTTTGCAAGAGACTTGATTCTGGAGGGGTTCCCAGTCCCAAGGAGAGGTCCCCAGATTGTTCCCTGGGCAGCAGAGGAGAGGGTGCCTGAACTGGCCTTGGCCCATAACCATACTGATGAATATTTTGCATATCACCATAGAACCTTCATCTGGTGATAGATGGAGATAGAGACAGAGATCCACATTGGAGCACTGGACTTAACTCTCTAGGTCCAAATGAGAAGCAGAAGGAGGGAGAACATGAGCAAGGAAGGCAGGACCAGAGGGAACCTTCATCTGACGATGGATGGAGATAGAGACGGAGACCCACACTGGAGCACTGGACTGAGCCCCCAAGGTCCAAATGAGGAGCAGAAGGAGGAAGAACATGAAAAAGGAAGTCAGGACCGCGAGGGGTGCGTTCACCCACTGATACAAGGGGACTGATCTATTGAGAGCTCACCAAGGTCAGCTGGACTGGGACTGAACGAGCATGTGATCAAACCGGATTATCTGAATGTGACTCACATGGGGGCTGACTGAGAAGCCATTGACAATGGCACTGGGTCTTGTTTCATCTTCATGGACTGGCTTTTTGGGATCCTAGTCTGTTTGGATGCTCACCTTCCTAGACCTGGAGGGAGGGAGGAGGAACTTGAACTTCCCACAGGGCAGGAAACCCTGACTGCTCTTAGGACTGGAAAGGGAGGAGGAAAGGGAGTGGGGGGAATGGAAGGGTATGAGGAGGAGGGGAGGAAGTGGAAATTTGTATAAATAAATAAATAAGTAAATTTTTAAAAAAAAGTGTCTTTAACAAGAACATTGAATGTTGACATCATCAGTAGATAGAAAAGAGAATAATAAAAAAGACATGTGAATACTGACTCACTGAAACCATGTTCGATTCAAAACAGTGAAGAAATGTAAAAGGATGTTCACGTTCTAGAAAGATTCAAATTTTTACCAAGATCATACAGACATTCTTTCACAGAGAGAAAATCTTTCTAAAATTTATAAAAATGTGAGAAACCACAATGATTAAAATATTATGAGAGAAAGAACAAAAACAGAGGCAATTTCAAAATATATAAAAATTTTAGTGATGAGGCCTGCCTGGTCTACAGAGCAAGATCCAGGACAATCAAGGCTCTTACACAGAGAAACTCTGTCTCGAATAACAAAACAAACAAACAAAAAATAAAAACAAAAACAATTTAAAAAATGGAGTGATGCGAGCAGTGGAGTGTTGAAGACAGACACTGACTGGTACCAAAGAGAAGACAAGGGAAATGGAGGTTACTACTTGGCAGAGATATTAAGCAAATCTCATCAAAATCCTGTGGGCATTATAATAGGAAATAGAGACACAGAACCTGAAGGAACTAAATGATGTCCCAAAAACTCTGCATGCAGTGCAAACCAAGAGGCTTTAATGTTTTTTATTAAGCACTAAATTAAAATGATAGTAATGAAATCACTCGACAGTGGTATAAAACCACAACCAGCAATGTGAATGAAAGATGGACAGCATCACTCCCATGCAAAGTCAAAAAATTTTATTTGCCACCGAATATTAATAATTATGTATAAAATCTTCAAACACCTACAAAACCATAATTCAGATTATTCTTAGTGGAATTCTCTAGAATCGTTTCCAATGAAATAGAATGTGGCAAAACCAATTTCATATCCTTGTTCTACTGTCACTTGAGTCCTTCCCCAACCCTTCATCCATTCCTCAGACCCTCCAGCACACCTGGATCCTTTGCTATAGTCTCCACTCTCTTCACCATCCAGGGCTCTTGGTTCTGCAGGTGAGCAGGAGTAACTGAGACCTGCACAAGAGAGAGATTCTTCAGAAAGCACCTAGACCGTTTTACGGAACAAAAATGAAAGATACTAACATTTGCCAAAGGAAAAACATGAAGGAGAGAGAAAATACCAAGAAAAATGTCTCTCTTCTCTAAAGATTTCACTTTACTCTGCAATTGAGTCTCATTCACACACATGCAGAGTAGTTTTCCCAGAAACCATGAGGAAGAGCCAGGGAGACTGCAAGATAATTATCCTCACCCTCAGAATCCAGAGTGTTGTACTTCTCCAACAGATTTCTGCAAAAGACCCTGTGAGGAAACTCGAGGCATTACCACTCTTACAAGGATTCCAGTCACAGCACTATATGTCAACAAACCCTGAAATAAAAAAGGACAGTTCAGTCAGGTGTACATTGGTAGAGAGCTTTCCTTCAACCAAGGAGACATTTTCCTGATACAGGTGAGTGAATGTTCATAATTCAAATGATGCTTTCTAAAATTTTGATTCAATGTATAACGAGTGTACTAACTATAAAATACCGTGGACTAATATACTCTCATATACTCTCATGCTGGCCTTGCCTGGACTGATACGTAACTTAAGAACACAGCATATGAAGACACATTTATAAATGCTGTTTTTACATCCTAGACTGCATATATTTCGGATATATATGGGGAATTAGTAAGGAGTAAAAGATAAACTAAATGCTCACAACCACATGTGTGGCAGTGCATAAAATATATGTTCTGTTTAATTGTATCTTCACTGGTTCCTCATGTGATTACTATCTACAAAGCTCCCTGGGAATGCCTAGTCTCAAGAGCAAGGACCACGCTTCTTGTAAGGGCAAGTGGTAAAACGGGGGAGTTAGAAGGCATGGATGTATTTAAATTCCAGGAGCTTTGGAAATGCCACAGTAGCAAAGAGAACCCTGTCTGCTAACAGCAGACAATGAAAATGCTCTAAGAATTATTTTATGACAGAATAGCCTAGTAATCATAAAATAATTGAAAAAAATCACGGTAAGACACACCTGATGGTATCTCAAACTTACCGACAATTGAAATAATATCAACAACAGAATGTTTCAAACTATAAGGATAAAGTGGGGTAAAACGTGGTGCCTCTAGCAGCCGGTCATGGTGGGCCGCTAAGAAAACACGCCACCTGTAACAGGTCTATGGTGAGAGGTTTATTGGGGGAAGCCGATGAGCAAAAAAGATAAAGGCCGTCTCGGACTGGAGACATAAGAGAGGCAGAGAGACACACACAACAGATAAGAGTGCAAGCGAGAAGCAATAAATAGAACTGTGACAGACGAACACTTTTAAGGGTGCGCATGGGGCATAGAGAAGGGCCCAGTTTGTAGTGATGGAATTTGCCGTGCCTGACCACAGACGATGACTTAAGCTGACACCGCCTCCGTCGCCACCACAGACGGGCCGGCAGGAGCTGACAGTGTCCTAAGCAGCCTCAGCTCACGCCGCAGTCCCTTCCCTCCTGGGTCCCAGCCCCGCAGCTCCTCAGACCTGGGAGGTTCCAGGGCCGCCGGGCTGTGGTTCCCACCACTGCGCTGCTGACTGCTGACTTTCCCAGGCCGCCCCGCTCGGCGACTGCGGCTTTGTGGAATTTCCAGGTCCCCGAACTCACTGCAGGGTCTTCCTCACCCGGTTCCAGACGCAGCTCCCCGAGCCCAACAGGGAATGGAGGAATTTCCTGTACCTTCAGCCTGGTTCATTGGAGCGCTTCCTCCTGGCCCCGCCCAGTACACCCCACTTCCTGTCACGTGCTTTCTCGAAACCCGCCTACCGCGGGCTCTTACCCCCTCCCTTCCCAAGTACATCCTGCTGTTTTTGTTTTGTTGGTTTTATCCCTAGACTCCAGAGATCCCTCCCACTCCGCCTCAGGCTGCCTTCCACACAGCTCCAGCTATCAGGCTGATCCCTCTTTGCACAGCCTCCCCACATGCTTGTTGCCACACTAGGCTAGACCTGGATCTAAGAGAAAGCTGCACTTCTGTGTCTGAACTTCACAATGAGTTCTGGCCCAAAGCAGTAGTAATCTCGTAGAATCATTTTATCTAGGGTAAACATTAGAACGAGTAACTGTTTTCTCTGTATCTAGCTTAAACAGTAAAAGGAATAGTTGTTAATAGAAGTACGCAGACATTGAAGAAACCATTATGGAAAAGAATGATTATTTTTCTGTGATTGGCAGAACTGTTTTTCTGAAGGAATTTTAAAGCCCTTATATGACTTTGGTCACAAGAATATCCTGGCACACCTGGAGCATCTTGAATTACTGAGCACTGCAAACAGTACAATAAAGACTAAAGTTGCAGGGGTGTGATGCTTACCTCAGAAAACATATTGATTAGATAAGGGGATTTGGTATGAGGCACTTGTGTTACCCAGATGCAGATGTGTCTCATTGTCATGAAAAGTATAATTTATTAAAACATTTTAAATGCCATGTTCTGAAGGTCTCTAAAAGAGTTGAAGAATACCTTTCTAACTGAAATATATCTAGAAAACTTAACATGACTACAAGCTTAACTATTATAGACTATTATCTATTAACCTGTATTTCTTAATTAAACATTACATTTTTAAATGAACTGCAAAAACACAATACCTTACTCAAGAACAGAAATATATATATAATAAAATTGACCTTAAATTTGTATCAATAAACCAAGATTCATAACAATGCAAATTATTTTCTATATCATAACCCCTTTAAATGTAAACAAACATTTATAAACAATATTTGAGAATATGGGTATAGTTCTCTTCAACTGCTTCCTATTTTTATTGGGTGAAGTATTTTTGGAGGTATTCACAGTGACCTTTTGTGGGGATCTTGGTCCATCAAACCACATTAGTCTGGAATAAAGCCATAGATTCTCATTCTCTGTAGAAACAAAAGAAGAACCTCTTTTCCAAAGCAACATATCCTTAGACCCAAATTCTGACGTCAAGATATCTTTATAATATACATGCCGGTTAAGCATAGCATCTGGTGTCTGTCTTTGGCGGGGCTACACGACTTCTCACTAACTTTTCCTTCTTTCTCCCAGCATTTAGTTTAGTTTTCCCCACCTACCTCTATTCCCTGCATGGGCCCAAGACAGTTTCTTTATTAAATAATGGTATTCACAGCATACAGAGGGGAATCTCGCATCACAATCATCTCATTAGATGCTGAAAAATTCTTCAACAAAATAAAACATTACTTCATAATAAAGTGATGTGGGATTTCCCTCTGTAAGCTATGATTTTCACTAATGAATAAAGAAAATGCTTTGGCCTGTTGATAGGCAGAACAGAGCTATGTAGGGAAAACTAAATGGAATGCTGAGAGAAAGAGGGGCAGAGTCAGAGAGACACCATGTAGCCCCATTGGAGACAGATGCCGGAACTTTAGCCTGTAAGTCACAGCAATGTGGTAATATAAAAATTAATAAAAATGGGCTAAATTAATATGTAAGAGTCAGCCTAAGAAACTAGAGCTAAAGGGCCAGGCAGTGATTTAATTAATACAGTTTTTTGTGTTATTATTTTGGGTGTAAGCTGGCAGGGTGGCCAGGAACCAACAAGTGGCCCCTCCCTCCAACAATAAAGGTCTTGGAAGGAGCAGTGATACAAAGAACATACCTAAACATAATAAAGGCAATATAGATCAAACCAACAGCCAACATCAAACTAAATGGAGAGAAATTCACAATGATCCCACTAAAATCAAGAACAAGACAAGGTTGTCCACTCTTCATACCTATTCAATACAGTTCTTGAGGTTCTAGCTAGAGCAATAAGACAACACAAGAAGATCAAGGGGATACAGAAAGAAAAAAAAGAAGTCAAATTCTCACTATTTGCTGATGATATGATAGTTTACATAAGTGACTCCAACAATTCTACCAACGAACTTCTACAACTCATAAACACTTTCAGTACTGTAGCAGGATGCAAGATTAGCTGAAAAAACTCAGTAACCCTTCTTTATACAGATGATAAATGGGCTGAGAAAGAAATCAGAGAAACATCACCATTCACAATAGCCACAAATAGCATGAAATATCTCAGAACAACTCTAACCAAGTAAGCGGAAGACATGTATGACAGGAACTTTAAATGTTTGAAGAAAGAAATAGAAGAAGACACCAGAAAATGAAAACATCTTCCATGCTCTTGGGTAGATAGAATTAACAAAGTAAAATTATGACAATCTTACTAAAAACAATCTATAGATTCAATGCAATGACCAGCATAATTTTTCAGTGACATTGAAAGAACAGTACTCGACTTTATATGGCAAAGTAAAAAACCCAGGATAACCAAAGCAATCCTGTACACAAAATGGATATCTGGACACATCACAATCCCTGACTCCAAACTCTACTACAGAGCTACATTACTGCAAATAATATGATATTGGCATAAAAACAGACATGAGAACCAATGGAACCAAATCGAAGACCAGATATTAATCTACACATCTACAAACACCTGATTTTTGACAAAGAAGCAAAAAAATAAAATGGAAAAAAGAAAGCATATTTAACAAATAGTGATGGCATAACTGGATATCAACATGTTGAAGAATGAAAATAGATCCATATCTATCACCATGCAAAAAACTCAAGTCCAAATGGATCAAAGACCTCAACATGAAGCCGGCCAGTCTGAATATTACAGAAGAGAAAGTGGGAAGTAGACTTGAACACATTTACACAGGAGACCACTTCCTAAATATAACTCTAGTAGCACAGACCCTGAGAGAAAAAATTAATAAATGGGACCTCCTGAAATTGAAGCTTCTATGAAGCAAAAGACACAGCCAACAAGACAAAACATCAGCCTACAGAATGTAAAAAATCTTCACTAACTTCACATCAGACAGAGGTCTGATCTCTAAAATATACAAAAGACTCAGGAAACTGGTCATGAAATGAATGCAATAAATAAATGGAGTATAGACCTAAACAGAGAACTCTCAACAGAGGAATTTAAAATGGCTGAAAGACATTTAAGGAAATGTTCAACATTCTTAGCCATCAGAGAAATGCAAATCAAAACATCTCTGAGAGTCCATCTTACACCTGTAAGAATGGTCAAGATCAAAAGCACTGAGGACAACTTATGCTGGAGAGGAATGGGGTAAAGGAAACACTTCTGCATTGCTGGTGGGACTGCAAACTGATACAGCCCCTTTGGATATCAGTGTGGTGATTTCTCAGAAAATTAGGAAACAACCTTTCTCAAGACCCAGTAGTACCACATTTGGGTATATATCCAAAGGATACTCAACTGTACCAGAAGGACATGTGCTCAACTATGTTCACAGCAGCGTTATTTGTCATAGCCAGAACCTGGAAACAACCTAAATGCCTCTTGATTGAAGAATGGATAATAAAAATGTGGTACATTTACACAATGGAGTACTACTCAGCAGAAAAATATTAATGACATCTTGAAATTTGCAGACAAATGGATGAATCTAGTAAACATAATATTGAGTGAGGTAACTCCAACCCAGAAAGACAAATATCATACATACTTACTCATAAGTGACTTTTAGACATAAAGCAAAGGTAATCAGCCTACAATTCACAATCCCAGATATCTTAGACAACATGAGAGACATACATGGATCTAGTCTAACAAGTAGAAAAAGTCAAGATCTCCTGAGTGAATTGGGAGCATGGGGACCATAGGAGTGGGTAGAAGGGGAGAGGAAAGGAAAAGAGGGTAGCAGAGAAAATGTATAGCTCAATAAAATCAATTATAAAAAGTGCGCACCACCATTTTTATTATTTTTGTGTCTTTATTTCTGTCATTTCTAAAATACATTTCTTACTATATACAAGTGGTTGTGATTTTACTGAATTCTGTAAGGAATTAAATCCCTCTGATTTAAGTTATGTTCTTATAACCATTCTTTTAATTCCATTTTTAGTATGTCATTGAATTTACTCTCTCTTAAGTACACGATTGGTATTTTGAGTCATGATGCATTGATATCCTCACTTGTCTTTTTTTGTGCATTGGGATAGGTATATCTGGGAGTATGGGATATATTTAGTTCTTTTCAGTCCTCCTTTTTCTTCCAATTGATGGGTTTTTTTTAATGTTGAAATGGGGAAGCCTTGAGATTTGCTTCTTTCATCTGTAGTGTACATGTAGCGCAGTAGCTACATTTCAGCCCATGAATCTTTTTCTCTGAGTATGATTCTCCTCATCACTCTGAAAAAATAGTAGCCATTGACTTTCCTCAATCTGAGCAATGTGAGCTATCACTTCAGATTAAACTGCAAATTTTCCTGAAGCTAAAGCCTTTCAATTTCAGCACACAAGTTTGTAGTCAGACAGTATTGAGTGAAAACTATAAAACCTGACACAATAGAAACATATGTTAAAATTCCCTAGGAAACACAAACTCAGTATTGCATTTGCAACACTCCTGAAAGGTAAATGTATATTATTTCTAGTACCTCTTAACTCAGATAAAGAAGATTAACAACTCCTTGTTTGTGTAAGAGAGCTGATCATGAAGGAGGGGAACAAAGGAACCCACTGGACAGTTTCACTACAGGTCATAGATGGGGGACATAATGACAATTCAGTGGCCAGTAACATTTGATGATCTTGAAGAGGATGCAGGTTTCATTCACAACACCTAAAGAATGGGTCAATGCTTTCTCCATTTCTAAGGGTCCTGAATCCTTCTTCTGATACTCACAGGTGTCAG